TCTCTGAGACAGGGTTTCTCTGTGTAGCTTTGGAACCTATCCTGGAACTTGCTTTGTAGACCAGGCTGGGCTCTAACTGCCTTTCCCTGCCTCCAGAGTGCTGGGTTTAAAGGCGTGCGCCACCACCACCCATCGTCAGTTTTTCTTAATCACTTTTCCTCCTGATTTTGTGCTTTGTATTTGTGCCTATAGTATTGTGGAACAACAGTTTGCATTAGCCAGTATAAAAGTGAGATTCTGTCATTTTCTCATAGTGTTTCTTCCACTGACTTCTCTTCAGATAGTACCATGAAAGGATGTCTCAGTTTTGGTGGTGACTGAATTGCAGTGGTATTAGTGCTCGGAGTAGAAGGTAATCAATAATGATCTCTTGTGATCCACAGGCTGAGCTTCACACAGGTATTCTGCCAAAGATCCAGAGCACAGCTCTCAGAGGTGAGAAGCTCCATCGGGTGTTCCACTATGTCCTGGATAACCTGGTCAATGTGATGAGTGGATACTGCCTTCCAGATCCTTTCTTCAGCAGCAGGGTATGAATCACTCCCTTGGGGAAGGGATGTACAAATGTATTGATTCTGTAGAGTAGTTTACCATCTCAGGAGGAATATTTTAATATCGATTCCTCCACCCCACCCTCTTTTTGGTGGGGATCAAACCCAAGACATAGAGCATGCTATGCAAATGCTGTACCACTGATGTATATCCTCAGCTCATGAATTTTTTTTTAAGAGGATACGTGGTTTGACCTTTCCACCTTTTGTTGTTGGACTTGAAGGTTTTCTTTTTTATTTGTTTGTTTTTGTTTTTTGTTTTTGTTTTTTTGAGACAGGGTTTCTCTATGTAGCCCTAGTTGTCCTGGAACTCACTGCTATGTAGAGCAAGCTGGCCTCAAACTTGAACTCACAGACATCTGTCCACCTCTGCCTCCCAAATCCTAGGATTAAAATCATACACCACAATGGGGATTATTTCTTTTTGAACTATAGACTGGGTCAGTGTTTGATGTTTATGCTGTAGTTTTAAAGTAAGCACTGGGGGTTGGAGAGAAGGCTCAGGGTTAACATCACTTGTTCTTCTGGAAGAAGATGGATTCCCAGCATTCACATGGTGGTTCGGGAACCATCTGTAACTCCCAGGCACTCATGTGATGCACTTTCATGCACTTAAAATAAATAAATCTAGAGTAAGCATGAGCACTGTAGTACAGTAGATTCCGATGTACATTTTATTTTGGGAATTATGTTGACCTTGTATCCCATTTGATTATTTCTCTCTTTTCAGGTAAAAGACTGGGTAGAACGATTGATGAAAACTCTCAGAGATCCCTCCCTGCCTCTTCTAGAGTTGCAGGATATCATGACCAGTGTTTCTGGCCGTATACCCCTCAATGTGGAGAAGTCTATTAAGAAAGAAATGGCTCAGTATGCTAGCAACATCACATCAGTCCTCTGTCAGTTTCCCAGCCAACAGGTATTTATGGGGTAACATTGTCATTATTTCCCGCTTGCTGCCACTGGAGTTCATGCTCTAGGAGACCTGTTTGGCTCTTCCTTACTGTCTGTGATTTTACCACTGTAAGGATTGAATTCTTCACAAAACTACCTCAGGATATGAGCCCAATAAGGAAGCACTATATGTTAAAATATAAAATATGCTCTGTGAGGAAAGTGTGCTTTGGCTGTGTATTCCATATCACTTTGCTTTCAGGGCGAGTCCCTAGTTAGAGGTGTTTCTGTAAGATTGACATGAAGGGTATTGCTAATCTGTTTGTCTGACACTCTGGCTACCTCGTCAGCATCCTTACTTATCCTTTGCTGTAATGTAGGGTTGATGGGGAGTAAAGCTGGGCAAGTAAGTGATCAAGTGTAAGGTGTGGATTTTGACCTTCGACAGCTTTTGCTCATCACAGTTTCTGGATACATGTAGTTCTGTGATGCAGTCATTAGTCTACCTGGGAAAGGGTGAAAACAGTTAGAAATCGCTTGATTATTTAGTAAGCTTCTAAAGTTCTAGTAACTTCCTACTGCTGACAGTATATCAAAGATAGGGATTACCATGTTTTAACCAAAAAGGCTCTTTGGTAGGGATGATGATGCGGAAGAACATGCATTGGGTTCCTTTGGCAGGAAAGGCTTCATTTTTCTTACTTCTTTTTCCTTAGATTGCCAACATCCTAGATAGTCATGCAGCTACCCTGAATCGGAAATCTGAGCGGGAAGTCTTCTTCATGAACACCCAGAGCATTGTCCAGCTGGTACAGAGGTTAGTCATGTGGGTCTCCAGAGTCTCTTGCCATCTTTACTTTCAATTGGGCATAAAGATTTACTTCAAGTCTGACTTTAACAGAGAAGGAACAACTTTATCTCTCAGAAAGTGACTTGTATCTTTTTACTGTCTTCGAATTGTGACCTAACTCATTTAATATTTCTCCTGTTTTCATAATATTCTGTCAGTTATGATAGTCTCCAAATCCTATTGTTTTCTTTTTATTTGCTGTTTTGAAAAAGATCCTAATTTTTCTCCTAGTGATTATTGTTTATGTTTTACAATATTACACTCCAATGTGATTATTGTTTATATTTTATGGATCCAGGTATTGAACTGAAAAGCGATTCAGAGCATTTTCAGGTTTAAGATGCTTAAGCTGAAGACTTCTGATCAGTAGTAGGAGCTAATTTTGGGTGTTATTAGATAAGGATATGAAATGTGGGGTATAAGGAGTGGTCTTTATTTTCCTTTTCTGCTTTTCCTTTTGAAAAGATTTCTTATGTACTGGAGTTACTTTTCAGCTCAGAACTTAAGTTAATATGTTTGAGTGATTGAATTTTCAACATGAAAATACAAGTCAGAAGCCTGTCCTATATTCAGAGGGAAAGCAGTTAAGGGGAAAGCCTAGAAAGTAAATTTGGCCTCTGGGTTTATTAAATAGTGTTGGTCTGCCCTGATTCATAGGTACCGAAGTGGCATCCGTGGCCACATGAAGGCTGTGGTGATGGACCTGCTCCGACAGTATCTGCGTGTAGAAACACAGTTCCAGAATGGTAAGCTTCATCCTGAGGATTCTGTATGGAAGTTTGTAGATCTGATTCATCCTGTTACTAACACATCCCATTAACAAACTTTTCTTCTCACTACTTCCCTGAAAAACTATCACCTCCGTACCCTACCAGTATGAAAAAGAAAACTAACATAACATAGCAGAACTCCAGTCTGCCTCTGGGTAAGGGTTGAGATGTTCTTCGAGAGATTAACATTCCCTGTTGACATCTTCTTGACCTTGTATGGTGAGAGCTGGTTGAGTCATGACCAGTCTGAAATTGAAATTCCCTGTCTGAAGAGCTTGCCTCTCAGCAGCTAATCCAAGAGTTGAACCACAGGCATATGGGAAAAGCTTAAAATCTCCACTACTTTTTAGTGTGTCATTTAGGTGGAATTTATCCCTGGCTTTCTCTGAAGAGCTTCACTAAATGATGGATAGTCTTTAAGAGTGAAATACCTTGGTTAAGATTTTAAAGCTACATACTGCTATTTATGGCATCCTGCCACAAGATGGCAGTGTAACACCAAATTCTCTTTTCCTCTGCTTCTCTGGATGTCTCTACCCTTCACAACCAGTTAAATCCTCCATGTGATATTAGCAAGCTAAAGCAAGTTGGTTTTATGCCTGTTAAAGCAAGGTTGAAGCCAGGCGTTGGTGGCGCACACCTTTAATCTCAGTACTCCGGAGGCAGAGACAGGGGGATCTCTGTGCGTTCGAGGCCAGCCTGGTCTACAGAGCGAGGGCCAGGATAGGCTCCAGAGCTACACAGAGAAACCCTGTTTCTGAAAAATACAAATACAAAAACAAAACAAAACAAAAAAAAGCAAGGTTGATGAATTTAGGGGCAGTCAATGTAATTTATCGTACACTGGTAGAATAAGAAAGAATAAACAGGGTCATCATCTTAAGATGTTGGGAAAAAAAACATTGGACAAAGTTCACTGTGGAATGAAATGATACTTTTGCTTGTTGGTGTGCCCCCACCTCTACTCCTGTGCTGGGGATAAATCACTAAGCTACATTCTTACTCCTGAAATGCAACATTTAAACTTAAGAGCACCCACAAACATTTCACATGATATGCAATGCATTAATGGTAACATGTTCAAAACATCCACTTTAAGAAAAATGCAGTGGTTATCACTGTGTCCATTCAGCATCATGTTGGGTATCTTTGCTATTATAGTAAGGTAAGAAATGGATTTAAGAAATCAGAACATGAAGGCTTTCCCCCAAAATCCTAGAACTTGTGAAAGAGAGTCAGAGGCGTATCAGGAGTTTAAGGCCAGCCTTGGCTACAGGATACCCTGTCTCAGAAAATGAAAAGGTTGGGGGACTTGTGGTAATTAAGATTGGCCACCAAGAAATTCAGTGTTTACTTGGAACACTCAAAGAACCTCCAAGTTTATTACTAAATTATTTAAAATGAAACAAAATTTCTAAGTATCAAAGTCAAACTTGCAGGGATTAGTGGTTGAGTGCCTTTATTTGGGAGGCAGAGGCAGGATCTGATTCAAACAAACAAACAAACAAACAAATTAACACAGCAAATTCAGTTGCATGCAAGCATGTTGTCGCAGGCCTTTAATTTCAGCACTCAGGAGGTAGAGGCAGGGGGATCTCTGTGAGTTCGAGGCAGCCTTGTCTACAGAGTGAGTTCTAAGACAGCCAGGGTTACACAGAGAAACCCTCTCTCAAAAAACTAAAATAGAAAAAAAATTAAAATATAATATCCAGTTGCACCTGGGGTGTAGCTCCAGACTAGAGCACTTGGCTAAAGCATGAGTTCTTGGGTTCAGTCCTCAACACTACAGAAAAAATTTTGTTTTAAATGTTTACTTATTTATTTTTGAGACATGGTCTCATTCTTTAGCTCTGCCCTGTCTGCCACTTGCTCTCAACACCAGGCTTGCCATGAATTCATAGAGATCCTTCTGCCTCTGCCTCTGCCTCTGCCTCTGCCTCTGCCTCTGCCTCTGCCTCCTAAGTGCCAATTGGGATTCAAGGCATGTGCCATCAGGTCCAGCGAGAAAAGACCTCTTTACAGCAATTGTTTAGAAAAACAGTTTTGAAAAATATACCATTTAAAATCTCAGTTAAAACCCATAAAATATAAAGGCACAAATACAATAAAAACATGCAGTCCTCTTCTGGAAGAAATCCCAATGAATGAACAATAATAAAGAATATCTAGGTAAATATCAAGAATAGATGCTGTTACTAAGGTATCGATTCTCCCTAAATTCACTTTGTCAATCTGTTGACTGTCCAAAGATACCTTTTAGGTATCTTTGTGAAACTTGTCAAGCTAATTCTAAAATTTACACAAAATTCTGGCAACAGCCAAGGTAATTCCAAAGTGTGTGTAGCTATAATCCCAGCACTCAGAAGACAGAAAGAAGGATTATTCTACGTTCAAGCCCAGCCTGGTCTATACAGCAAGCTCTAGGGCTACCTATTTCAAACAACAAGGTAAATTCTAAAGAAATAGAAGGTAAAAAAAATATTTGCTGGATGAGATAACAAGATTTACTATAAAGCCATATTAATTAAACAGCTATGACATTTGTGAAAGGACAGAGTTATAGATGAAAGAAACATAGTTACCCAGAAGTAGATCCATATGCATGTGAATCATTTCATGATAGAGCAGGCATTGTGATCATGAGGAAAGGATAAAACACCAATTAAACAAAACCAAGGTGATGAACCAGGCATCCACATTTCATTTCATACACTCAAAACCAATTTCAAGTGAATTAAAAAAGACTTAAACATTTATCAAAGAGGCAAAATTTTAAAATTTTAGGATATCCTTATGACCTCAGGAGAGAGAAGAGTTTATCATACTACAAACAGGAAGTGCATACTATAAAGGAAACAACTCATTAATTCTGTCTGCTCAGGACCTTCTATTCATCCCATGTACTGTTCAGAAATCGAGAACACAGGCTACAAAGTGAGAGAAGCTATTTATAAAATTTATACCTACGACAGAATTAGTACTAGTACGTAAAAGGCAATCGAATAGAAAAATTGGCAAGAGAGAGAAAAAGATATTTCACAGAAGAGGAAGCACAAATAATCCATAAACTTCAAGAAAATGCTCGCTCCCATTACCAACTACAGAAGTAGGAGCCCAAATCACAGATTTTACAATCACATTATTATCTAATACTGCCCTTGGGAGTGAAAGTGCAAATGGCGTGATTGGTTCAGAAAACAGCATGTCCATACCTAATAACGCTTTCATAAAGTTGACTTTTTAGCCTAGTAATCTTACTCTAAGATATAAGGACCATTTTGTGCCACTACTATTCATTATAGCAAAAAACAAAACAAAACAAAAAAAAAATAGAATGGGTTTTTGATTTCTGAGATATTCCTACAGTAGAATATTATATAGCACTGAAAATACATGATTCCTAGAAACACATATAAACAAATGAATCAGTACATAGTATGGTACTATTTTATCAAGTTCAGAACCAGGGGAAAAAGTAAGCTAAATATATTGTTGACAAACGTAAAGAAAGTAAAATAATTATTAATATAAAAATCAGCTTTAATTGTTTTTGAAGAACACATGGCAGATAGGGATATTAAAAGGTACTAAATGTATTGTTAAGTTTTAGTAACTCTTAAGGTAAGTGGGGTGGCTGGTGCTTCTAGCACTTGGAAACTGAGGCAGGAAGTTTGCCAAATTCAAGCCCAGCATTGGACCATAATACTGAGAACATGCCTATTAAAAAAATGGGGGAGGAGGAGTAGTGGTGGTGGTGTTAGGGGATTACAACTGGAAAGATAGTTCATCAGTAAGAACATTTACTGCAGAGCTCACAATCATCTGTAACTCTAGTTCCAGAGGATCCCACACCTCTTCTGTCCATGCTGAGTGCCTGCATATTTGTGGTACATATGTACATAATGTTAATTCTCTCTCTTTTTTTTTTTTTTGGTTTCCCATGACAGGCTCAATTTTATATAGACATATGCATGTATATATAAAGCATACATACATACATTACATACATACATACATACACACACTTTCAGAACTGGGCAGTGGTGGCTCACATCTCTAATCCCAGAACTTGGGAGGCAGAGGCACGCAGATCTCTGAGTTTGAGGCCAGTCTGCTCTACAGGGTGAGTTCCTGGACAGCCAGGACTATGTAGAGAAACATGTCTTTAAAACAAAACAACAACGACAAAATTGAAATAGCACATAGGTATTTATTCATTTAAAATAGTACATGGGTATTTATTCATTTAAAGTTTTAGTATATAATTTATGTGTTTAAGGGTTTTGTTTTTCTGGATAGCTTATAAAAACTAAATGTTTAAAAAGAAGAATACAATACAGACACTACCTGGTGGTTAAGCACATTGGCTGCTTTTCCAGAGATGCTGGGTTCAATTCCCAGCATTCTCATGGCAGCCCTCTCCTGGTCTCTGATGGCTTTGCATGCATATAGTATACAAACCTATGCAGTCAAAACACCCATACACATAAAATAATTTTTTTAAAAAGATTTTATTTTATGTGTATGGGTGTTTTGCCTAAATGTATGTCTGTGTACCATATACATGCCTGATGCATGAGGAGGCCAGAAGTGGGTGTCCTATTACCCCTGGAACTGAAGTTTCACATGGTTGTGACCTGTTGTGTTGGTGCTGGGAGTCAAACCCAGGCATCTGGAAGCGCAGCCAGTATGCTTAACCACCAAATCCATCTCTTGCTCCTGTATTCTGTTTTTTTAAGATAAATTTTATTGATTCTTTGTGAATTTCACATCATGCATTCCAATCCCATTCATCTACCTGACCCTTTGTATCTACCCTCTGTCCTTGCAATATCTCCCCCAAAATAAAATAAAATTTAAAAGAGAGAAAAACAAATCTCATTGAGAAAAAAAAATCTCATTGTTATGTGGGAGGCTGTAGTGTGACACAGTGAGTCACACAGTATACATTTTAGTTGATGCAGCATTACACCCAAGTGTTCATTGCAATGAATCATTGGTCTGGGTTTGAGGTTTTTTGGCTTCTGTTACGATACGATAATGGGTCCTCACTGGGACTCCTCCTCCCCTCCTTTTTTTTTTTTTTAAAGCATTTATTTTTAATTATGTGTATATTTGTAAAGGGGAGGTTGTACACATGAGTAGTGCCCCATGGGAGCTACAAGAGGGTATTAGATCACTTGGAATTATAGATGGTTGTTAGCCACCAGATATGACATGTCCTGGGAACTGAACTAGGGTTCTCTGCAAGAACAGTAAGTGCTTTTAACCACTGAACCATCTTCCCACATCCTCTTTTGTCCATCACAACTAGTAGTTATTTTTAAAGTGATTACTTGTTACTGTTTGGTTTTTGTTACTGTGACCCCTCACTTCAGGTAAATATATTTTTACTTCCCTTGCTCCTAATAATTACTGTTGCCCAGATGTATTTCTTTTGTCACTGCAAAGCTGTGTCTCAGTAGAAGAAATACAGGACAACCACTTTTTTTAAGGCAGTGCTGGAGATTGAACATGTTCAGTGAGTACTCTTACCATTTAGCTACATCTCTAGTCTAAGGGCAACCAATTTTTAAACATTTTCTATTTTATCAAAATTCAATCTTTAATTTGATTGGCTGTTTTCTAGCCTCAAACATACTAGTTTCATTTTGAAAAATACTATTTATGTTCATTTCTGGTATTTAAAACAGATAAGTTAGGATTTCCCTGGTCAATTGTTATTGTAGGAAAACACAGTGATATGTTTTTTTGTTTTTGTTTGTTTTGTGTTTTTTTTGTTTTGTTTTTTTTGAGACAGGGTTTTTCTGTATTTCTTTGGAGCCTGTCCTGGAAGTCACTCTGTAGACCTGGCTGGCCTCGAACTCACAGAGATCCTCCTATTTCTGCCTCCCAAATGCTGGGATTAAAGTGATTTTAAACATCACTATATTAATTTGTAGTTTAACACAGAATCTAAATAGGGCAATAATCCTTTCCTATTATTTCATAAAATTCTGGCCCACAAATATGCAAACCCTAATTTTTCCTTACTTGGAAATTTAATTTAGAGCCAAGCTATTTTCTAAAGACACATGTATCACTTATGCTCTATTGCAGATACATACACAAGTATGCTGGAGGCTTGTTTCTTTTGCAGACACAGCTTTTCTGCCCCACATTCTCCTGCCTGTGGTGCCTTACAGAAGCAGGCAGACCTGTACTCCCTATAGCCTTTTGGCACATGTGAGGCTCCCATTACGTATGCTGTGGTTTGGATTTGGAATTCCTGGCCATTGCTTGCTTTTTTTCTTGACTTACAGTGGGAATATTGACTCCCAGTATAGCACACACTCATGAATATTGTTAAGTTTTATTTCTTGAGCTAAAATAGTTCTTAGCAGATATAATGAAACATTCTCAATGAGTCAGGTGTGAAACCAGAGGCTCAAGCTGGAGTAGACTTCCAAGATTGTCAGGGTTAATGGTTTCAACATTTATTTTGTTAATGTATAATATATGCATGTGCCCCTACATGTGTGCCTGTTCCTCTGTGTGGGTGTGTGTAACTGTATAGGTGTGAAGACAACTGTTGGTCAGAAATGTCATCCACTTATTTTGATATAAGCTCTCTCCTTGGCCTGGAGCTAACCAATTAGATTAAACTGGCTGTCCAGCAAGTCCTAGAGATTTTTCTGCCTATCCATCTCTGGGATTACAAACATGTAATCCCACAATGCTGGACATTTTTATGTGGGTCTTAGGGTCATACTCGGTTCTTGTAAGGTCATACTGGTTCTTGTAAGGCAGCACTGTACCTGCTGAGCATCTTCCCAACCCCTTGACATTTATTTTTAAGCACCAGAACTTTGTTTTTTAAGGAAATTATTCCAGGAGAATGGATAAGATCATGAAGAGAAAAAAATGGAATTGGAGTCACACCCTTCCCACCTTTATTTTAAAAGCATATCCCCCTCCTTTTTAATTTTTAAAATAAAATCAAGACCCAGAGAGGTCAAATGATTGGCATAGTGAATTGTTAATAGAGCTAGACCTTGAACTCAGTTTTATGCATGGCTTCTCATGACTCCTGGTCTAGTGCTGCTTTTATGGCCCACATGCTAGCTCTGTCTAAACCTACACCCCCCTATACCCCCCACCCCCACAAAAAAATAAAAAAACCATAAGGTATTTCTTCTTAATGCTTATTAAGTAAGTTACAGGCATTAAGAAACAACCAATAGCATGTAAAGATGAGGCCTCATGTACACATGGTGAAGACCAGTTTTCTTTACCATTTACAGGCCACTACGACAAATGTGTGTTTGCCCTTCGGGAAGAGAACAAAAGTGACATGAATACTGTTCTGAACTACATCTTCTCCCACGCTCAGGTCACCAAAAAGAATCTTCTGGTCACAATGCTTATTGTGAGTATCATGTTTGTTGTTTTTGCTGTTTCCAGAACTTGCTTGTTGATGTTATGCAAAATGGTGTGTGTGTGTGTGTGTGTGTGTGTGTGTGTGTGTGTGTGTGTGTCTGTATCTGAAAACAAGCTGCTGTCTTTTTATAATTATGGTAAGTTGAGCTTAGGCTACAGATTAGCAGTTGCTGGATCTGAAGCAGTGCATGACAGTTAGGAAGGGGTTGTTTTGTGTAAGATGTGTACAGGAACTTAGCTCTCTTAACTCTACTTAGAAATGCCTGACCCTTCCCAGTTTCTGTTGTCAATGGGACAGCAGCCTCTAAGATAGTTTCCTCTAACGAATGTGGCTGCACTTTAAGTCTTGTTTCCATCCAGCAATGCAAGCACTGGCTCTCACACATGTCAGAAACTTAAATAAAATGTGAGAAATTTAGTACTGTCCGGTCAAAAAAAAAAAAAAAAAAAAAAAAAAAAAAAAAAAAAAAATATATATTCAGCAGCATCTCTGGCCTTTCGTTTTTGATTTACATGAAAATCTATGCTCAAGATAACATGTTGCAGTGAATCAGTTCTTTTGTGCCCATACCTGATTAACACAAGAACTAATAGGAAATGGGAGGAGGAATAAAACTGGCAACTGTGAGTTGGAATGAGATACATTTGACACTGGTAGAAGTTTGCAGAGCTGAGGGTTTTCATGTTGTTTTTGAGTTCTCCGCTCTCAGTTCTTCCTGGCTGAGCAAGTGTGGAGTGTTTGAGAACAATAGGGCTTCTTTTAGAGGTCCTTCTCCACAGCCGTGAGGAGAGGAACTGCATATTTGCCTTGCTAGGGACTGAAGTCCAATCCCTGAGCTCCCTTTCCCAGCTTTGTGGGATGAACATTCTTGATACTTTTAATTCCATCATTTCTTCATGGAAGGGAAAACCCCTTGTAAATCTTCACTGCCATTTTTTGTAATCCCTCAGAATGAAAGGAAATTGTCTTCCTCATGTCTCTTGTTGACAGTATTGCCACTCACTCAGCCATCTGCCTCACTGGTTGGTTCTATCAGATATAGCATTTTTTAGGTAGCCACTTCTAAAAACATGTCGTTATAGGGAGAATTCATTACCTTTGCTACCCTGGAATGGCTGCCTGGTGAGGAAACCAGGCCATTGAGATGGGCAGAAGTATTGCAGTATAAAGAACTGCTTTAACTTTCCCATGAGGTAGCATTCTGCAAAGAGTTTATAATCTATAGCAACTTACTGTTTATTTTCCCTCAGAAATCCTACTTTCTTTTCAAATTTTAATGCAAGGATTGTTAATTCTCACTTGGAGAAAGTCAAGACTCTCTAGCAGAAAAGGGTAATGATTAGAAAGTAGAAGGATCTGTCAGTATGGACCAAAATGGGGCTGGAATTTGCCTTTATAGGAAGCTAATTATGGCAAATTTTTCATCTTATTATGATTACCTTTTTAAGAACTTAACAGTTTCTGCACTAAAAATAGACCAAAGCCCAGAATCCTTGGAGCAGGAGAAGAGTAATGATCGTCCAGGACTGTCGCTGGGTTTCTTAAATTCTAATTTGTAAGATATAGGGGCTCGGCTCGCTCCTTTTGCGGAGTGATTGTAAGTAACGCTTGCCTTAAGAATCTCATTATTGGAACACGGAGCCATATTTCCTCTGAGAATTCTGGAGTAGCTTTGAGCCGGGGCTGTTCATTTCTCAAGTAATCACGCTGGTGTGATGGAGAGAGAAAATGGCAGCTGTTCGGAGCTCAGGCCTTCAATTTTCTTCAGAGTCCAGTCACTCAAGTGTGTAATTACACGGGGGTGCTGCAGAGGCGTTGGGCCCTGTCAGAGAATCGGTTTGAGGCTTTGCTTGCTGCTTTTGCCAGTCAGGACAGGCAGAAGCCAATGGGACCCTGACTTGCTGCTGTTTTTTCCCCACCTTGTCATCCTGATTATTTCTTACCTGCATGGATAGTGCCCCAAATTTCTTCAGAGCAGGCTGAGCTCTGGCAGCTGGATTTACCTGTTTTTCTATTTTAGCATGTTCACTTCTTTTTTTCCTCCAAAATCAAAACAAAACTCAGTAAGCACAATAGTTTCTATAGTCTTACATATCACTAACTTCTTTTCAAATATCAATTATTTTCATCTTATTGTAAAGATCTTGAAATCAAGGAGTTAATTGTTATGATTGAGCTCAGGGCCAGCTGTTAATGATAAGGAAAAGGCTCAGATGGTGCCCCTTTCCAATCCAGTATTTCTGAATGCCAGGCATATTTTCCTTTTTGAGAATGGCCAGCTGCTCCCTTCCCCCACATCCGTATTAATGGTAGTAGCCTCTCAGAGGCATTTTAGTTGTTAGGATTCCTCTTTCTCCAGGTCTTACTGTCTTTTACAGATGTCACTGGGACATGGTAGCATTTCAATTCTCCCAGCTGTGTTCTCTTCTGGTGGCCTTTCTTTGCTTACCTTGGTCTCCTGATTGATGGTTATGTGCCCAGCATTCCAATCTCTGCTTTCTAGAAGTAGGAATGTTGATAGTGTACTTTGCTGAGCCGGATGATGACTTCTGGGCCTTTGAACCTAAAAGAGGGAATCAAGAAAATCAAGTTGCATCAATGGAGAGGTGGTGTGGTCCTCTGCAGTTGTTAACATATGCTGAATAGTGGTAACTTGCCCTGAGGACTGCTAAGCAAATTTCTATTGAGTAGACTTCTCCAATGCTTTCATTCACATGAACATGCTTTCTCAAGACGTGGTGTGTGGTTTGAGATAGAGCATATAAAATGTAGAACAGTTCCTTTCCTTCTTTTTTCATAACTACATATAATCTGTACAGTGTATAGATAAAAAGAAAATTCTTTCTCAGAAATCGCAAATTTAATAAGTGTTCAGTTTTACTTCTGTTGCTCTGATAATATAACTGAAGAAAAAGCAAATTAGGGTAAAAGGAATTTATTTTAGTTTTCAAGTCGAGGTTAAATTTCATTATTGTGGAGAAGTCAAGGCAGGAACTTAAACAGCTAATCACATCCACAGGCATGAACAGAAAGAAACACATGCATGCTCACTTTCTTGCATGTGTTCAGCTTGATTTCTCCACGGTTACACAGTTCAGGACACCCTGCCTAGGGAATGGTGCTACCCATCATGGGCTAGGTCTTCTACATTAATTAAGACACCCCCCCACACACACACACACACACAAATATGCCCATAGGCAAAACCTGTGTGGACAGCCCCTTATTGAGACACTCTTCTCAGTGATTCTAGGGTGTCAAGAACCAACAATCACATAGAATAAAGGTGCTATTAGCAATAGATTGATAAACTTATAGCATCTTTCTCAGGAAAAAAGCCTTACTCAGCTAAGTGGTAAGTAGTTAATGTTTTGAGGGTATTATATATAAGACCTGATCTCTTCTGTTTTGAATTGCCTTTCTTGGGGCATCTAATGCCTAAGATGCCAAGATTATATTTGAATCTGTTGGGCTTTTTGGTTAATTTTGTAACTTTGGCCATTGATTGCTACTTTAAGCATATTTATTGCATTTCTGAAAATCCAAAATATTTCTTAGCAAACATCTAGGATGAAAATAAAAGCAAGAAATAACTGTGTTGTATGATCTTTACCAGGAATGGTCAATAGTTTCATTGTATCCTGTAGATTTTTGCAAATGACTTAATGTTAGCTGACTGGTTGTTTAAATGACATTTTCGTTGTTGGTGTTTTGTTTCTTTGTGTGCTGTTTTGTTTTGGAAACACATTTATTGACATAGTTGCCCTTTGATGGCATTGTTACAAAATTTAACAGAATGGAGTGGTAATCTTGGGCTGTCCAGTTGTCCAAAGGAAGCTTAAACAGAGTATGTCTAGAGCACTGATTGTTTCTTTCAGGATCTTAGCACTATGTCTGGATCAAGGCCAAAAGAGTGTTGAAAAGTTACTCCACACATAATTTATTATTGCTAATCTTTTTCCAAGTCTCAATGACAGTAGAGAAAATAATATTTGAGGGGCTGGAGGTGTTCAGTGGTTAAGAGCACTTGCTGCTCTTGTATAGAACCTAGGTTCAGTTCCCAGTACCACTTGTCAACTCACAACTGTCTATAACTACAAATATTTGAATAGAAAACTGATACAAATGGAGTTCCATACAAACTGTATTTGATTTTGGCTTCTGAGGAGGTCTTGTTTCTAGTGCTGTGTCATGGGGAGTCCAGGAAGATTGTCAGCTTGTAAATGAATAATTATTTCACGTTTTTTCCCCCTAAATCTCCCACTCCACCCTATCCTTTTTTTTTTTATAAAAAAAACAGATGCTGTTTTTCCCCTACCCTCTTTCTCATTCTCTTTCTTTCTTGAAAAAGATGATTTTGTATGTTTTACTTGGTTTTGTTTTTTTAAGTTGGAATATAGTCTATAGTTGAGCAAGGGGATAACTTATTTTTTCCTCAACTTAAGTTAAGCATCAGTTACTTTCAAAGGTCTATTCCCTACCCCAAAATATGCTGCAGGTTGGAGAAGTGAATGGCTTTATTTCATCACACTGACTTTTGCAGCCGTTGGACCTTAGCCTAGTCATTTGCAAAGATTGTAAATTGTTTTCCCCAGAATGTGTCTTGTGTTTTGAGATATTTTAGTGGTCTGTTCTGATGATCGAAGTAAATAACTAGATAGCATTGTGTTTATACATTATAGGGGTGTTAGGACAGGAAGGGTTGGGATATGGAAACTTACCTTGGTCTCTTTATCCACTCCTACTACTTTTTTGTTTTTTATCTTTTTATTGTCTTGTCTCTGCTGATATGCATATCCTCTGAGTTTTCTCCTTTGCTTATTACTTATCTGCAAAAGATGAGATTGAGTTTTAGTTTCCCTTCTTTCCTTATGCCTCGAATGGGTGGGAAACCATTGTGTCGGTTGTGTTAGAAATAATTTTCTCATATAATTTTAGCCAGAAGTTCAAGAGGAGAGAGTTGGATGCCTTCTTCCTAGTATAATGGTGTTGAATATTCAAAAGTGTTTCTCTTGTGACATGGAAAGTATTATTGGTTTTGGAAAAGGTGTTTTGGGAATGCATGCCTTTCCCAAAGACCAAATGGTGTGTGTGTGTGTGTGTGTGTGTGTGTGTGTGTGTGTGTGTTTTAAGGTATTTTAGATTGATTTTTATTGTCTATGAATATTTTTGCCTGCATGCATGCCTGGTGGTTGAAAGCCACTATGTGGGTGCTAGAAACCAAACCTGGGTCCTCTGCAAGAGTAGCAACTGCACTTAAGTGTTGAGCCATGCTCCAGCCCCAAGCTTTCACTTGTACTTCTGTGATAAAGGTCTATACAGGGATAAAGAATATCCCTGAGATGAGAAAAGGTAAGCATGGTACAGAAATCCTTCCAGAAATGGCTGATAGTCAAGAGGAGGGGGAAGGAGATGGAAGAACAGCAACAGTGCTTAAGATGCAGCTCAGAAGTAGAGGTATTTCCTTTCCCTATTTTAGGTTCTGTTCACTGGAGTTTTTTTTTGTTTGTTTGGTTTTTTGTTTTGTTTTGTTTTTGGTTTATAAGCTTATATGTTCCTTTACATATAAACACGTAGGATCAGTTGTGTGGACGGGACCCTACACTTACTGATGAGCTGCTAAATATCCTCACAGAGCTAACTCAACTCAGCAAGACCACCAATGCTAAAGTGGCACTGAGGGCTCGTCAGGTAAGAATAGTTGTTGGTTATCTTGAAAGAGTGTATTTCTCATAGTTTGGGCTGTTCTAGACACAGTGCACTTGCCCAAAGATAATGCAGTGTGTTTTTATCTGATAAAGTATTTTTTAAACTCAAAGGACATGGTTATTGCTGGGTTTCTCACATTATAAAATACTGGTATTGCTCCCTATCTTCTCTGCCAGCCCTCGATGTATTAGTAAACCAGGGTCAGGTGGAAGAAAGGAAACTGAGGGAAGGAAATGAACTCAGTACTTTTTACTTCCCAAAGGGAGCTTTGAGGCAGATGAAAAGTTGTAAGTATATGGAAAATAGTCAAGTTGGAAAGCAGAAAGATAATGACATGAATGTTAGTCACTAGCAATCAGAACAACCCCAGAGAAGTCCAGTTAGCTTCACCCTGTAGTCCTCATTTCCATTCCAAAAGGTTTCTGCAGGGAAGCTGAGAGTTGGCACTCCTTTTGTGTTTTCATTGCATGGGCATTGACAAGGACACAGCATTTGAAGCTGCTCAGTGACCTTCTGCTTTCTCTACAATTGTATCCATGTCACTGAACTCCTCAAAGTTATTGAACCTCTCACTGACCTGCTGAGGATATTCAGGCCCTACTGACTCCCTGTTTGTTTGTGACACTGCTTTTACGTCCTGCCCCTCACTTGCATCGGTGTTAGCTCCTGGTGCCTTTTCTTTGTTGCCAAGTACCTGGGGCTGTCAAAGCAGCTTTTCCTTTTTCTACTGCAAAGTTGCAAAAGGCTAGGTATACTGCATCCACCTTCCCTATGGCTGCTCCCTGCCAGACCCGATTCCCAATTAACAGCTAGTCATGCAGTCTCCAAGACTAGCAGCTTTGCAAAGGTAAATCACATGCACTAATGGAACTTGATTGAAGCTGTTTGCTCTCCCTTCCCCCTACCCCTATGGGAAATTGTCCACAACACAAATCAGGGTGAGAAGCAACTGAGGTTCAGTATTTGGTGGCATTGACTTTATGCTATAGGATCTGGAGTTGTTTTACTTGGTCTCTGTTTTATCTCTGATGACTGCACTTACAGATTTATATTTATTGCTTTTGTATCAGGCTGCCTAATAGGAGCCTAGAATAATCACTCCCTCAGGAACTTATGCCTCTTATTTTGCCTTCACTCTAGGTTCTTATTGCTTCCCATTTGCCATCATATGAGCTTCGCCATAACCAAGTAGAGTCTATCTTCCTATCAGCCATTGACATGTATGGACACCAGTTTTGCATTGAGAACCTGCAGGTATTTATGATAGCCCCTTCCTACCATTTCGCACTCCTGTTCCTTTTATTCCCATAAGCATATTTCAGTTAAAGATATAATAAATTAATTTGACTTATATGTAATGAAATTTTATTCCTTGCATTTTAAAAATGATTTATGTTTATTTTTTCATAAAAATATTGCATGATTATAGCTTAGCATTAAAAATCAAATGGGTCTTCTTTGATAGAAGTGTCCTATTGAAGTCGCTATCTTTTGGAAGCATTCTACACCAGAATTAATTGGCAGCATTATTTGATTTCTGATGCTTAAATTAGATGCATACATAGATCGTTGTTCCTCTTCTGGAGACAAAGCTATTTAAATATAATTTACTTTTAATGCTTACTATTATACTTTATAAAGAGCCAATTTTATAAGATTATTGGATAATTTTACTACAAATGAAGGACTTCAACTATTTTTTAAATAACATCATTTTCTCTGGGGTGCTTTTGTGTTTTCCTCCTGAGAAACCAGGGGACTGTTGTTATAACTGGCCAAAGGAATCTTCATACTTCCTGTAGGATTTCCTCCTAGGGAACCTAGAAGCAGAAAGAGGTAGATTTTTATTATGTGATTCATAGTGGAAATCTAGGGTTTCTATTAGCTTTCAATCCTGGGATTCCTGATAGTGGAGTATTAGGCCATATTGAGGGAAGTACAAATAGAGGTGTGAAATGATAATAATCATAAGCACTTAATATTGCCATGCTATTGATATATTTTAATAAACAATTTAAGAATTTTACATGTCTTAAACCATCTATTCCTCAAGGCAACCATGTGGGACACAGTATTATTGTGTTCTCCACAATAGCTGAGGAAGGAGAACCCAAACCTCTATGATCACATAAGGCATTCAGCAGCAGAAGTTTTAGGTCGCACTGAGTGCTACAATGTCCTTTTGCCTTCCAGAAACTCATTCTATCGGAAACATCTATTTTTGATGTCCTACCAAACTTTTTTTACCACAGCAACCAAGTGGTGAGGATGGCAGCTCTGGAGGTGAGTGTTCTGGTCTGTGACACAACCGTCTCCATGGGTTTGCTGGAGTTTTCTGTCTGTTCATGTCATGCCCCTTCTTCTCTCTTGGTCTTCTAGAATGCCAAATGCTTAGTCAGGTGCTTTACCTGCTGTTTTACCTGCGTTAATCACCAGCTTCTGGGTCTAATAACAGGGAAATAGCTGCCAGATTTTTCAATAGCCTCTTCTTTCCAGATATTTGAATTTTCCCATTTCATAATGAATTAAGACTCACAGCATAGGTGAAAAGTACATGGTTAATCCACCTGTATTACCTGACCATTTGTGATTTGAGCCAAATTTTAGTTATATGATGTCTAATGAACTGTGGTTTAGGTGCATTACTTTTCCATCTAATCCTATAGTTTTATAAAGTTAAAAAAAAAAAAGTGAGACTTCAAGGTGAAGTAACTTGTTCAGAAAACACAGATTTAAGCAGAGGAGTTTGCATTTGAACTCAGGGTAGTCTGATTCCAAAGACTTTTCTGTTGCACCACAGCATACCACCTCATTAGACACAAAAATTGCAGACCCTGAATACTTCCGTAACATTGCCAAGTAGATATATTTTGAAAATGGGAAGGAGAAGTGTTTTCAATGATTTCATGTAATAGAACATCACATAGTCTCTTGCTAGCTTTCTTGGGTTATTTTTTTATTTGTATTCTATGAGTAAAATGTAAAGCATCCTGCTCAGTAAATATCAAATATTTGAAATATCTTGGTGTTTTTCCAGGCTTTCATGTCATTTAATGAGATAACTCCTTATATGCCTCACATGCTGATAGAACTTCATGGCAAATTGAATATGAAGTGTAGAAGGGTGGACTGCTGGTTTTTGCTGAGATGTATTCTGCTGCTGCTTCTTTAACTATTGAATCAAGTTAGTGGGTTTGAGGTATTGGATGTAGCATTTATGCCTCACTGCTTTTTCATGTAGTTGATGTTGGAAATCATTCAGAACTGATTTGGGGCAGTGAGATTGGTGGTGCTGGTGGTGGGGTACAAATAGATAAAAAGTTGGACTTGACCTTGATTTTCTGTTTTCCCTCTTTAAACCCAAAAGTAGCCTGGAATCAGCACTTTTCTTACTGCTTGATTTATCTTCTGTTGGAATCATCATGCTAATGAATTAGAAGTCATGGTTCTGTATGCTCTCTTTTACTAAATGTGGAACCTCTAGCATTTAGGTTAGTGTGAAAGTTTTACCATGTATCTGTGTATCCAGCAGGAGCAGCCTCATTTTATTTCACTATATTAAAATCATGGGTAAAGCATTAAAACTCCAGCTTTAACAGTTAAAGCCAGGTGTTATGTTCAGGGCCTCTGGCCTCTCATGGCAAACTGCCATCTTTATAACAGATGCGTCTTTTCAAGACATTTCCTTGGTCCAACCATCCTCTTCATTTCTGTTTTTGAAGTATATTTACTGAGGATTACTTTTTAACCAGGTATATGTTCGAAGGGCTTATATTGCCTATGAACTTAACAGCGTACAACACCGCCAGCTTAAGGACAACACCTGCGTGGTGGAATTTCAGTTCATGCTGCCCACATCTCATCCAAACAGGTGAGCTTGAGCTGGTACATACACCTGAGCTAGCCAGTGGCCTAGTAAGACACAGTTAAGGGGAGGGTAATAAATGACAATTCCTTGATACTTGCAGCAAGAAATGTAAATAAGCAAATGGACAGATTTGAACCGAGAGAGAGGGGAGCTTCTTGATGCCTGTGTCTTGATCTGGGGAGATGCAGCGTGGTTCTAGTTAAGTCAGATGGTTAGGGTTATCCTGTTCATTCTTGCTTGTGTATGTAATTAAAGAGCACCCTCCCTCCTCCCTCCCGTTTTTCTTTCTTCCCCCCTTTTGATTCCTCTTTCCTTTCTCCCATGAGCATTCTGCTTCCCACCCCCACCCCCCCAACCCCACCCGACACAAACACACCCACAAGAATGCTGTGTACAAGTTCTGCTTTGTCATGAGCTGATTATGGGTTAATCTACCTGAGCCTGAACCAGACTCCTCCTCCCTTAACACTGATACCTGAATTTAACAGTTGTAATTCAATCAGGCTTTTTTTTTTTTTTAAGTCACACTTGAGAGTCAAACTTCTTAAATATAGATTAGTTACTTAATTTGCCATCTAGTTCCATTATTCTTCTCTTCCCAAATCCTTTAAAATGTGTCTATGTAAATTTGTTTTTGCTTTGGGTTTAAAATGAAAATAATTTATGTATATACCCATTAAAAAATATTCTGTGGCAGTGAAATTCTAAGAATTCCAAGCCACACATATGTTCATTCCCTCCTGTATTTTTATTCTTTTTAGTAACACCACAGGAAATATAAATACCACAGCCAATCATACCCTGCTCCTCTCCATTTCTTCTTTATTGCCTTTGGTTCTTCGCTTGGTATTACAAACAACTATGTCTTTGGGGATCCTTAGTTATAGACACCAGAAATGGTTTTGTTCTGAATTGCTACCTCACCCAAAGCAATAGAGCCTTTCTAGAGACAAAGAAGTCTGTGCTGAGACTTTTGGCCACTGGATGCCACTGTTGATCCAGCAGAGGTCGGCAGATGAACAGAGGCATCTTCAGGAAAAGTATGTCTCTTCTTTGTCTCAGAAGATCCTTTCACTTTTCTACCTCAAAAAATGTCTTGTGGCTGGCAGAGAAAAGCACATATCCTTGATTTAGCAAGCATCGCAGTGCATTTTCGCCTCCATGGATTTCAGAATCTCATTTTCTAGAAACGAATGGCTGTCCTTCATCGAGCAGCGAAGTACTTGTGGCACATATGGGCTCGGCACTAGGTCTTTCTTTTCCAGCATTCCTTGAATAATTGGAGAGAACTACATGCTATACTTAATGCTCTGTAATTCTCAAGACAACCTCCCTTTCTTTTTGCCTTCTCCTGCCTCTTTCTTGTGGGCAGTGATTTGTAGTCAGCCTGCAGGGCTCATTCTGACTTCCTTCTACATTGCTCCCCTTGTCTTTGTAAATTGCTCTCACCCTACCTTTTTTTCTTTTTACGTGGGGTGTGTGTGTGTGTGTGTGTGTGTGTGTGTGTGTGTGTGTGTGCGCGTGTGTACATCTTGCAGGAGTTGGTTCGCTTCTTTTACCTTAGATCCAGGGATTGAACTCAGGTCAGGTCATAAATGCCTTTACCCTCTGAGTCTTCTCACTGGCCCTGTCTTTTAAATTTTGATACTATATGTCCAGTTTGGTGAAAATAAGTTGACTAGAAATCGAAAGCAATGCTTAACTGTTTTGTTTAGAAGCCCTCTTCACCTTTCCACATGAATGAAGTAAATCGTGGTTAGTCCTGATAGGGCTTCAAAATGTTGTTCTCCCTCCCAACATCCATATTGTATATACTCCTATGAATAAAGGCCAATTTTGAAAAGAAATATAATCTATAGGCTCTAAAGTTTTCCTTGATTATGTGTATAATTGTGAAGCTGCTGGAATGTCATCATTATTAGTAGGAATAGTATTTATATAGATGTGCAAGTAAAAATAAATACAAAATAAAGATAAATAATGTTTGTGAAAACCATAAATATCAGCTGGGGAGATAGCTTAGTCAGTAAAAACACTTATCACACAAAGATGAGGATCCAAGTTTAGATTCCCCAGTTCCTATGTGAAAGTCAGGTACAAGACATGCATTTGTAACCCCATGCTGGAGAGGGAGAGACAGGCAAGCATGTGTGTATGTTTGCACCTGAGCACACAGAGACACATACCACAAATCTATAAAATATGTAAATTATTTTAAGCTCTAAACCTTTTTGTTAGTTTAGGATCAGATTATTACATTTGATCATAGAATGATATATTCAGTTTCAGAGAATAGCTTATTCAGAGAGTTATGGATTTGCTATTTGATTTTACATTTGATAAGACTTTATATTTGCTTACAAATATATTTGGAATTATAACCTTATTCTGATACCAGTTAATGGATTATAATTCAATTTTGATTGTACCCAAATTAGATTTGATCAAATACTATCAAGGAAGCACTTGGTCTTCCATAGAGCAGCCCCAGGCCACCCACATTTTTGATCAATGGACTACAAAGCTGGTGGTCTCTACAGTCTCCTCAGTTTAATAATCTTGCAAAACTTAAGCACCATAATTTTATTTGCAGATAAGCTATAAAAGTTTTGTTTGTTGAAACAGCTCTTACTATGTAACTCAGGCTGTCCTCTCAATTCACAGTCTCCCTGCCTCAGTCTCCTGCGTGCTAGGGTTATAGTTGTGCCTCATTGTGCTTTACTTTAGTTTTATCATAAAGAATATAGATCAGGACCAGGCAAATGAAGCATATGGAGGAAGTCTGTGAGGACTTCAAATGCAGCGTCTTTGTTCTTCCTCTGTGGAATCAGGCACACCACCTTCTCAGCACATCAGTGTGTTCACCAGTCAGGAAACTCCAACCAGCTTGTGTTGGGCTGTTATCAGGGTTTCATTTCATAGGCACCATGAAACACACCATAGGCCACATGAATGTACTTTGTATTTCCTCCCTGAGGTCAGGTTAGCACAAGTTTGATGTTTCTAGTGACTGACTGGCTTCCATCTGGGGTCGTGTCACCTCTTAGCGTAAGCCCAGACGCAGGCGATGGATGCGATGAATGAATAACAAAATACACTCCCATTGCTTGGGAAACTCCAAGACTTCAGGAGTCTTTCTCCTGGCAACTGAGACAATGATTCAAGACTCACAATAAACATTTTTTAAAAACTTAGATAATTTTTCTAACTCCAATATTTTCCTTTCTTTGTGTTTTAAGGATTATCAAAATTATTTAAGCAGCACCTTTTAAAAAACGCATATCGGTATGCTGGTATCCTATCCCTGATTCATTTTGGATTGGAGTCCCATTAATGACTCTTTGTAAAGTTCCTCTATTTCAGCATGGTATAGTAGAATCTAATGTAAGCCATATACGTAATTTTAAATTTCCTATTCGTTACATTTGAAAGTATAAAAAAGTAATAACTCCATTATAATCAGTATATATGAAATATCTTTTCAATATATGATAAAATTATTAATGTAATCTTTTCTATTTTCTTACTTATACTTAGTCCTTGAAATTCAGTTAATTTTACATGTACAACATATTTCAGTACAGACTAACTACATGTCTAGCACTCTCTGACCATACATAGGTAGTTACTGCCATACTACTCAGCTCAAATTTCAATTAGGACAATAATATTGAATCCTTTTGTTTTACATTCATGGTATTTTCCTAGGAGAGAGGGAGAAAAATACCTCTTAGGTTGCAATTCTTAGCAGTTACAGGAATTATCCACCCCAGAAACATATTTACATCATAATACTTTATACATGCTTCAATAATTACTCTGTTAAAATAGAGAATGTAGAGTCATATATCAATGCAAAGCAGATTATAACCTTTTCTCTCAGTTGGGGTGAACAAATAAAAAATTCTTTAGGAAGAAAATGCTTTTTTGAAGGGCAGGTATCTTTTTGACCCAACACCTGAAAATACAGACTAGGCTGGTCTGGAACTTACTATGTATCTAAGGATGCTTTTGAACTCTAGATCCTCCTGTCTTCGCTTCCTGATTGAAAGGTTTACTTACAGGCATTCTGGCTTGAAAATAGATTTTATTTAACCAGTTACTTTTGCATTTCCTTTCCTAGTCCTAGAGTAAAATTGTCTAGCACTTTGTCGTAGCTAACAAAGCCATGGTGTTACCTGCTAGGATTCTCACTTCAGTTTTTGACTATTGATTTGACCCCCATAGGTTAGAATAGAACATGGATCTCTGTCTGTAACCTGACAGCATTAGTGGGTTTTATTGTTGTTTGTCAGGAAAATGCTTCAGATGCCTTTTGTATTGAACATCTATATTTTGTTAGGATTTGTTTACATTGTTGGAACATAGGCAAAAGTACAATAACAAATGAGTAAGGCAGCTCTAAACAAAGAAAGATTCCTTTTTAGGACACTTGGTTAATTAGCTTACAAAGTTTCCATAAGGCTTTTTTTTTTTTTTTTGATTTTTTTTTTTTTTTTTAATATGTGTGGGTGTTTTGCCTGCCTGTGCATCATGTGCATGCCTGGTGTCCTCAGATGCCAGAAGAGAGCATTGGATCTCCAGAAATTGGAGTTACAAATAGTTGCGAGTCACCATGTGGGAGCTGGGAATCAAGCTGTGGTCCTCTGGAACAATCTCCATGCCATTTCTCTGCCCCCCCCTCAATGACTTTCTTTGTTTTAAATAGAATGCCAGTTCTTTGCTAATCTCTGTGATTTCCTGTCTCGTCCTTACCAGGTATTCTTTATTCAGCATGACATTTTCTTCTTGAATTTACTCACAATTCCCCATTTTTCTCTGGGAACTGTAGTATCACTTTATTTGGCTTCCTCTGTATTGCTTACCAGAGCAGCTGCAGCCTAGTAGAACTTTACTCAAAGACATCGCTGGTCTGGAGTTACCTTTTTCTTCTTACTCCTCTCTCTCTCTCTCTCTCTCTCTCTCTCTCTCTCTCTCTC